GGAGCCCTGGGGGTGCGTGCCTCCAGCCCTCATGCCCTGTGGCTTTCTTCAGTCCCAGACTACCACCCCTCCGCCCCGTCCCAGTGGGGTGCAGCCAGGGACAGGCAGGCCTGAACTGCGGGCTCAGCAACTTGGCTGACAGCCCTGGCCCAGCTTGTTTGAAGGGCTTCTCCCGTATCTTGGGGTTCTTGGCTCCAAACTCACCGCTTCCAGTCAGGAAGGAGATGAATGCAGCCCAGCCTCTGGGCCCGGAGGACAGACGTCAGGAAATAGCTGGGCTATGACGCACCTCCCTCCAATCTCATTTCCATAATGCTTGGGAGAAAAAACTGGGGCTGTCAAGGAGGTGGGGTGTGTGGACTTGTTTGTTTTCTCTGGAATCAATCCTACTTCTCAAGACATTGCCTCTGGGCTTGTTGAACCCCCATCTTTTGGTGGATGTGTGCACTGTGTGTCAGCATGGCTTGTGTGACTCTGAGTGTGCACCTCTGGGCGCTGTGCCCAATAAGTCAATCAACAAACAGACAGAGAGAACCCTGGGAGCTTATTACTCCTTCACGTCTGTGTTAATCCTGCCTTCCCATCCTGCCACCCTGCGATGACCTCACCCTTGTGAAGTTTCATTTCTTTCTCGTTCATGCATTGAGGGGTCTGAACACCCTCATCTGCCCTTGACCAAATCATTGCCCCACACTAGGACACTCTGGGCTCTAGGGGCCCATTTGATTTTCAGCCCTGTGTGCCATCTGTTTATTTTGGTCTGTGAACTTTTGCCGGCACCTGTCGGTCTCTTGCAATGCCGCCTGCTAATTTTAAGCACTGGCAAATGCAGGTCTAATTTTAGATGCTGCTGTCCTGGGAGCTCCCCCCTGGGGATCTAGGCTGCTGTTTGTGGTGTTGGGATGAGGTGGGTGCCTTGGGGAACACAGAGGTGTTCCTGCTCAACCTCAACAACATTAATTTCTTTAGTGCTTTTATTTTGTCAGATCTGATATGAGATCAGACATGTTTCACATTATTTGATTGGCTCTTACTTTAAAGTGCCAATCAGCCAAGTGTATTAAGTGCCTACTCTGTGCTGGGCAGCCTACCCTGCAGAGGTCTAGTGTCTGCTGCTCCCAAGAGTACCAAGGACAGTCCTGGTTCTGTCTGATCAGATCTGCAGTGCCCTGCAGCAGCCTTTGAAGAATTGTATATAGCACGTGAGCAGAAGAAATGCTTGTAGAGGGAACCAGACAGAGAGTGAGTTGAGTCAGCATTTGAAGTCCAGTTCCCAGAAAACCCAGCTCTGGGTCTGGAAGAAGGGAAGAAGCAGGAGGTGGGCCAGGCACTGAGTACCAGCCCATTTCCTCTGTCACCACTTCCCTGTGTGCTGGTCCCATCCCCACTGCCAGTACCAAATGGCCCTTGTCTGAGGCTTGTTCAGCCGGAACTGGCTCTGCTCTGGGGAAGGTGAGGCAGGAAGGGTCCAGAATTCAAGCCACTGCGTCAGGGACTGGGCACTGCTTCCTGTGCCTGGTTCCCGCCTTCCCAGAGGCTCCCATAGAGTCTCTTACCATTCCCGTTGGTGACTGCCCCCGCCCCTGCTCACTGCCTAGTCCTGCCATAGGGCTTCCTGCCCAAAACCTGGAACCCTACAACTTGGAGGGCTCACTGACTGTGTCCCTGAAGTCCCAGGGTGGCCCATCACTCATGTGTCACTGGCCCTGCCCACTCGGAACCACCTTGATGGCCGAATGACTGTGCAGTTGAAGACTCAGAGTTTGGGGAAAGTGTCTGGTTCAGAACCCACAGATAGGCCATGTGCACAGCCAAATTCAGGCCTGGTGTATATGCATACCTTCCAGGCTCTGTGACTCAGTTTCCCTGGTGTCACTGCAGCAGGGAGTGAGCAATATTTCCCATAGTTGCTTAGCCTCCTTAGCCATCAAATTGTCCCCTTTCCTCTGGGAACTGACAGAGCCCACTGTCTCCAGGTGATGGGTAGTGTGTTGGCTGTGCCTTGATCAGGCAGAGACTGGGCTGCTGGAATAGGTGCTAGCTTCTTCCATGAGGCCATTGGTCAGTGGTGAGACATGTCTGTGAAGGTGTTTCTAGGTTAACTGAGGTGGGAAGACCCACCCTGAATGTGGGCAGCACCACCCAATGGCCTGGGGTGGGTAAAGAGGAGAAAGCGAGCTGAGCACCGGCCTTCATCTCTCAGCTTCCTGACTGTGGACACGATGTGAACAGCTGCCTCATACAGGACTATGTCCTGAAACAGAACCATAGTCAACCTGCCTTTCTTCAACTGCTTTTGCCAAGTGCCACAGCAATGAGAAAGGGAACTGAGCAGATGGGAGGTAGCAGGACACCCACTTTTCTCCTGTCAGTCAAATACCTGAGAGAGCCACTGAAGGGAGGAAGAGAGATACAAGCCCAGGCTTCTCCTCCCTGGCACCTGTCCCTTCTCCCCAGACTCACCCTTTAGCCCCAGTCAAGGAGTGGAGCAGGCTGTCCTGAGGCTTTGTCTGCCACCCCTCCCCCCTCCCCAAACTACTGCCCAGAAGTGCCTGGGCTGACTTCCTGCTTCCTGTCTCACTCTGGAAGCTTCCAAGTGTCATGTGCACAGATTTTCGTTCCAGCTTAGAGCTGGATATCTACAGCAGTGGGTGTTGGGATTCTTGCTGTGTGGCCACACCCCAGTGCAGGGAGCCCTGCCAGGGCCACCTGTTCCCAGGAGCAGTCCCCAGAGATCGGCCAGCAATTTTCACTACAGCCATTAGAAGAGGAGTCAGAGGCTCAGAGAAGTGACCCAGTCCTGGGAAGCCTGAGAACCAGGGAAGTCACCGTTTGTTTTCTGGATCACCTGCTCACTTTCTCTACAGTCTCACAGGCCCAACAGCAAGAGTGGAGGTGAGAGGAAGTGGCCAGTGGTCCGTGCTCACACTCAGGCATACACTGGGTCATTGTACTGGGATTGCTGGGCCACTCCCGGTCATGAGTCCAGACAGCAGGCCGAGAACTCATGTTTGTGACAAGGTCTTGGCCTTGGGGACACTGAGCTCTGGGACTGTGCCGCAAGAACCGCAGGGTGGATGGCTTCAGAAAACCAGGCAGGGCTTCCCAGGTCCTGGAGTGATCCTCCACCCCCATGTCACCATCTTCAAGGCCCTTCTGTGGCTGTCAGTGTGGCGCCACAAACTCAGTGTCCCCCAGCTTCCTGGCAATCCCCCAAGAGAGTTGGACAGAGGGCCTGCATTCAGCAAGCCAAGGGCACAGAAGGAAGTTAGCACTGAGCCCAGGATCAGTATTCCTGAAGACTCGAGTGAGCTGGGGTGGAGGTAACAGGTACCCCAAAGTCCCTATCCTCACCCTGCATCAGCTGCCGGGCAGCTGCCCCCCAGAGCCCCCTAACCTGCCCTTGGTAAACAGAGCTTTATTCTGCAGGTCAGAGGAGACAGATTTCAGGCTTTTATAATTAAAGTGTCCCGGTGAAGGGCAGCTGCCGAATTCTGGCACTGGGGGCTGTCTGTCAGCTGATGGATGGCCGCAACACGCCATGGTGGTGGCCGGCAGCTGTGAGCTATGGGCTGGTATTTCACAGCTACGATGACTGGGCTGAGGCTTGGAGGAGGCCATGGCAGCTGCAGGAAGCCGGGGCTTGAGCTCGGGGTGCTCTCTTAAACTGCCACAGTGCAGACCAGAAAGCCAGAGCAGGGCAGACTGGGGTCCCCCACCTGTTCTGTCCTGCCTCAGTTCCTTAGCCATGCACTCTAAACCTCCTTCTACCCATCCATTCCTTACACCCAGTCTCTCAGCGACCTTCCAGGTGAATCTGGACCCTAAACAATCTGGATTTTTCACCTGGAATCTTCATGCCAATCCAAGTTGCTGTCTCATCTTCTCTCCCATTGTGCTTTCCCAGAATTCTTAGCCCCAGAGGGAGGTGGCCATGTGACTTTGTCAGCTCTCAAATGGTAAAAGGCTAGCCATTATGAGAAAGACAAGCCCAGGCTAGCCCTTGGTTCCCAGAAGGGTGAGACCTGGGGTGGGCGGCGGTGGGAACAAAACTGCTTCTGATAAGATGAAGATATTTCAGTCAAGTCCACTTTAGGCAGAGCAACCAGATCCCCAGAAGGCCCATGGGACATGATAGCTCCCACGCTCCAAGTGTTAGTGAGCTGCTGCTGTGTAACAAGCGTGTCCTGGGTCCTGCTTGTAGTCTCATCTCAAGTCTTCCTCTATTATTATTATTGCTGCTCCTGCCAGGGCCTTTGCTCATGAGCACCCACTGCCAGGAAAGCTCCCCTGGCCCCCTGCCACCCTCCTAGACCTCTGTCCCCAGCCTTTTGTAGTCCTGTGACAAGCAGTTTCCTGTCACCAGAGGTGGTACTCATCTGCCCGTTCCAATATTCAGGAAGCTGAGGCAGGAGGATTTCAAGTTTGAGGCTATCTTGGGTTACATAGAGAGACCTTGTCTCAAAAATCCAAGGGCTGGATGCAGCTCAGTGGTAGAGCTCTTGTCTCCCCTGGGAAAGGCCCTGGACTCCACCCTGGCCCATCTTATTCTATTTCAGTCTCTGGTTTGTAACTTTCATTAAACATAATCCAACAGTAAAATTCACAAGGCCCCTCCCCGAAGTTGCATAAGTGGTAACAGTGAGGAGGAGACTCTCTGGTGGAGCTGCCTGTAACCTGTGTGTGTGTGTATGTGTGTGTGTGTGTGTGTGTGTGTGTGTGTGTGTGTTCGCCCATCTGGGGAAGAAGTCATGCTGCACAGGATGGGAGGCCCTGTCTTAGGCTTTTCTTAGCCATGCAGGTCCTCAGGTCCACAACGAAACCAGGGGGACCAGATGTCCTGGTATAGTGGCCAGTCAGGACGGACCTGGGTCCTTCTGTCTCCTATCAGCTCCTGGCTAGTAAGGACAACCTATGTGTGTGCAAGCTTGGGTGTGTTAAGTGTGTTAGTGCCTGTGAATGCCTTTGAGATGGAAGGCAGAAAGGCTGGGGCTGCAAAAGAGCTGATGTAGAGGGAGCATCAGGCATGGGGTCCAAAAGGCAGGGCAGGGACACACCTGTGGAGTCACCCTCACGGATCAAACAGCAAGGGGCCTGACTCTAGGCTTCGAGAACCTGAAGGGCTGGGGGGACCTTTGAAATCTGAGGCCTTGCACAGGTCACAGCCCCAGGAGGGCTTGTGACTAGAGACAGCTCCTGGGGCCTCTGATGCCCTCCTGGGCTCCAGAAAGCTAATCAGGCCTTTTTCCTGCAGAGGCTGAGAGCC